CCCCCCCCCCCCCCCCACTTCTAGGTACTTTTAGGTTGAAATATGCCCCTCCAGCAGAAAGTCTGGACTCCACAGACTGATATTTTCCTCTGGCAACAGAACACTATTAAGCCATGGAGACATAAGGAAATTAAATACAAGACCGAGAAGTCTAGTTGCTGTTGAGCTTAATATTTTTAATCCAAAGGTGCTTTACTTTACTAGACTGGATAGAAAACCTAGTGTAGGAGTGCATCAAACTCAGTTTTATTGCCAAAATCCTAGATTGGAGCTTGACGTCAGGACTTGCCTGGTCGGCGCCTCCACCGTGGTCGCGATGCAGAGACCTCCGTCTCCCGAGGAGCATCGCCATCCTCGGTCCTTCCAGGCTCACATGTAATTCCAGGGCAGCTACGCAAGATCGGACTCGAGTACTGAGGGTCGGAGTTCCCTGCGTGGCGTTCCACCAGTCGGACTCTGGTCACCCCTGGGTGAGGGAAAATGTCGCCTCTGTTTTGTTCTGTTTTTGTTTTGTTCTGTTCCTTGAGTGGTTAGACACTAATCTCTCTGGGCTTTTTAAGGATTGCACTACAGAAGAATGTAAACTGATGCCAGTCTCTGCGGTTTTGGGAGACAGACTCCCTGAGACCAGTCAGTGCAAGACACTCGGAGAATCTGCGTTTAAGGAGTTGGCACCAGCAGGCCGCGTGACTTGGTACACGACAAAGATGTCAGCGTCTCCTTCCCTCCTTAAAACACTTGCAGCAGTTTCAGGTTTTTCTTTTCCTTTTTTTTTTTTTTTCTGCGAATACATTTAAACTACATTATTAAATAGAAATAGTTACTCGCAACAACTTAATATCTTAAGGGTCCAAGTCCCAGAGAATCCCTAGTTGTCAGAGCTTTGAGAATCCTTCCTCCCCAGCCCGTCAGTAGCGTGGAGTCTTGGTCGTCTCCCACCGCGACGGAGCTCTCGCAGGGACATGGTAACCGCCCGGCCTTCGTGGGCTGGCTCCGAGGGACGCTACGACACCCTTAGCAAAGTTGGCAAGTTCTTTTATGTCACACGGATCTCCCGAGGCCCCCAAGGCTGACTGCTAACGGATTCACACTGGAGACAGACATTTCAACAATGATACAGTCCTGTAACTTAGGAGCAAAAGATTCGAAACGTTCTCCTGTCCACTTCTTTTGTATTAGGCTGTGTATTAATGGTTAGTTCCGTGAGAAGTTACCTGGAAAACTACAATAGAAAGTGGTAAGACTCTGAAAGAGGCCGCACCAACAGGACAGAGCCACAAGATCTGCACAAGTGTGGCTTTATCCAACGTGGGAAAGAAATCCTCCCCACACAGCTCTCGGTGTCACCCCATTGCAATGAAAGTTGCTTGGTCTGAAATGTAGGGACTTAAATCTTCAAAGCTAAAGGGAGTTTTCTGCTCAAATAACAATATTACTTTAAACACTAAAGCCTTCCATATTAAAATACTGATTGGTTAGGCCTTGCCCAGGGATTTTGCAGTGGAGTATGTATTAAAAAAAAAAAAAAAAATCATAATACTCAGACCGTTCTTAAAATGGGACAATCAGCCTCATGCCGAATTGGTATAAATCAAAAGAATACCCTAGAATTTGAGGCACTGTGATGTGAGGCTTCAAATTTTATGATCCGTTTCCTGGCTGCAGAGAAACTAAAGCAGAGTTGTTACATTTTTTAATGAAAGGCTTTTAGTAGTTTTTTAGCGTTTTATTTTAGTAGAGTTTCATTTCTATGCAATGCAGAATGGACAGACCTCTGTACACGTCTCTCTTCCCAGTGCACAGTATTACGTACGGTTTTGAAGCAATGGTGATGCTTATGGCAACTTTTTTGGGGGAATGTGACATTGATCTCTTAATTGTAAACACTACAAAATGTCAAAATAACGAGAACTGACACAACTTTGCCTTAAAGAGTACGAGCCTGGAACTTGTCATATGATGTTAGAGGAAGACTTGGGAGTGTCCACTGATGTTTACGATTTTAATATTTCTGAAGGCCGTTATGGTGGCCTGGACATGTGCTGAAAGCCAAACTTTTAAATTTTTTGGTTTTTTAAAAAAAAAAAAAAAGAAATATTTTAAATAAATCCTATTTCAACACGGTGAAATTGTTGAAAACTGTCTCATAACAAGAGGAAAAAAAATCATATTTAGGGTTTTTGTTTTAGTGGTCAGTATTGGGGAATGAAAGTGTCTGTTGTTACCCTTAGGACTATTTTGATAAATATTAGAAGTTAGCGTTCCATGTAACAAGAAGTTGAAACAAGATCTTTGATTTGAAGTATGACATTCAAATTGAGGTAAATGAGTCCAGACATTGTGCGGCTGTGTTCCAGTCATCAAAGGTCTTAGAAAAATCCCCAGTTGTCTTTGGAAGTGCATGTGCGGTGTGATGTCTCCAGTGAGGCCATTCCAAGGTGAGAATTGTGAAACGTAAATGTGACATACACGGGACATAAAGCATTCAGCTGCCGATCTGTGCGATCTCTCCCCAAGTGAATTTCCATACTTGGACTTGGGAATGTTTGCTGGCAGTATTATCTCCGATGAATTTCTCTCCAAAAGCAACCAAAGTCGTTAAGCCTAAAGAGCGTTTTGCATTTCCTCAGATGTCCTCATCTTCTTAGAAACACAGATCCGACTGACCCTTTCAACTACGTAGTCATTTTCGTGAAACCATGGGCTCAGTTTCCAAATGCTGTAGCAACCAGGTAGGTGTGGCATGGCCACTTGGCTGTGTGTGGTCTATCGTATATCAAAGTTTCTCACCCCATTTTTTTGTCTTCAAGAATGGGGGAAGTGGAATGTACAGATTGAAGTAGAATACAGTGTCGAGGTAAAACAACTATTAAAATTTTTTTTTTAGCCAAACATCCAATTTTCTACCTTCTTTTCTAATTTTTATTTCAAAAGTACTGAAAATTGGAAAGTGTTTAAATGTTAAAACTCGTAATTGCTAAAGAGCACTGAGGAAATGGGAGCTAGCACTTACAATAAAGACAAAATTATTTTCTTCAAAGCAGGTACGTGATTGGGTATTTTGAAAAAAGCGACCAACCAGCATCATCTATAATCTCCAGAAGATCACAGGAGTCAGCTTGTGAATATGGTAGCTAGTAGGTTCGGTGTTTTAATTCACTATTTAGAAGTCACTGTAGCTAGTTTGCACTACGCTGTGTGTGGAGGTGCGGGGCGGCAGCTCAGCCCAGCGTCACACACGCGGCCCGGTGGGAGCACCGGCAGATCTGATCAATCGGGATCTGACCGAGAGGCTTGCTCTGGGCCCACTCCAGTGTCCCTGAAGAGCGCTCGCCCAGTGGAATCGGGTTGCACCCTCCTCACTCCTTGTCATTTTGTACTCTTCCTGCTTCTGTGGTGGGTTATTTGATGCCTTGCTAGTTTTACATACTGGTTACTGATGGCGTACGAGTTGAATCTTAAGGATGGTAAGGGAAGCCGTGTCTTTCCCAGAGGATGGGCCTGTGGAACCTGAGTGGGCGGACCTCCTTTCCACAGTGCAGACAACTCCCCAAAGAATGAGTCAGGTGACGTTTAAAACCATGGGTTCTGAAGAGGCTCAATTTGCAAAGTCCCGAGGTTCTGAATGAAAAAGCCTTTAATCAGTACTCTCGAAACCACACACTTGCTGGTTGAGGCCCAAGGTCGACTTTGCTACGCTGTTCCAGGTGGAGGGGAGCTCAGCGCGTCATCAGTGTCCTCAGTCAGTCCCGGGTATCGTAACAAGCCCCTCACACGCATTAAGTTCTCACATGCACAAGGATGAAGGCTTTGGTACCGAAACCGAAGACTTCGTGTACTCAAGAATCTTCACAGCTTATATTGGACAGATTTTCTTTTTAGGAATGAAGGAAAATTCTCCCATTTTTGAGCCATTCTTTTATGTCAATTCTACAAATTGCATGTAACTTTATAAATATTTTTAAAAGATATAGTTTTGTAAATATTTAATATTCTGCTAATTTGATTTTGAATTGTAAATGTTAAGTATTCTGTTTTTGAAGTTTTTATGTTTTATTATACTTTGTTAAAAAGGAAAAATTGTACATTTTTAGAATGTTTTTATGAGTAAATTTAATGTACTGAAAATAAAAATTAAAAAAAATGTTTCATTTTATTAGGACTTTGTTTCATAGAAAATGGAGCACACATCTTTTTGAATAAATCGAAATTCTTGATCTCCAAACTAGGGAGTCAAACCTTGCCTTCTCAATTTGACAAGAGATACGTGGCCTTAAATCCATTTAAAAAAATTTTTTTAAGTTTTTCTGTAAGTTTTGTAACGTTTATTCATTTCTGAGACAGAGACAGACCGTGAGTGGGCGAGGGACAGAGAGAAAGAGGGAGACACAGAATCCGAAGCAGGCTCCAGGCTCCCAGGCGGGGCTCGAACTCCCAAACCGTGAGATTGTGACCTGAGCCGGAGTCAGACGCCCAACCGGGCCACCCAGCTGCCCAAATCCATTTTCTAAAAACTGATTTTCTTTTTGAGAGAGAACTTGTGAACAGGGGAGAGGGTCAAGGGCAAAAGAATCCCAAGGAGGTTCCATGCTCAGCCTGGACCCCATTGTGGGGCTCAATCCGACCCTGGGATCATGACCCGAGCTGAAATCGAGAGTCAGACGCTCAACTGACTAAGCTACCCAGGTGCCCCTTAAGTCCATCGTCTATCATTTCCCACTTTTTAAAAACATCCTTGCCTTGAACAGAAAAGTTACTCTTGATTTGGGGTTTAAAGAGGTTCCATGAGAAATCAAGATTGGCAGGAACAGATAGATGTCAAGGATACTTGAGACTTTTGTAAACGTGTGATTTACACACGGCACGAACGTGTCCTGGCATTTAAAGCTCTGTCCTCTCTGGATTTGGGACAGTGGCGGTCTAGTCAGCACAAGCTGGCCCAGGACTGCACTGCCCCGAGCAGTGCCACACTCCCCAGCAGAGGTCCCCGGGGCCTCTTGGTCTCGTCGGGCCTGAGGCTGCCCAGAGAAAGGTGCGCACGTGGCTCGGGGCAGCAGGGCCTCCGTCAGGAGAGACCACTGGCCCATCCTTGTAGCTGGCGGCAGCCTCCCCGACTCGCTGTTCGGAAGAGAGAGGGGCCTCTGAAGGGGGATGCGCGCGCCTGAGCAGTACAATCGCAGAAGCAGAGCATTTCCTCAGCTCGCTCCCCGGGTTCTTCCACAAACCTCTGAGGTGCCTGCTTCCGACTGGGAATGGGTGGAGGTTTTCCAGGGCAGAGTGCTGGCCACTGCTTGGCTGCAGTCTGTACCACCTTTCCCTGATGAAGCACGAGGTGCCCGTAAACCACGAAATGTCTTCTCGACCAGGCAGCGCATACTCAACACCTTCTGTGGGGTACTTTTTCATTTAGAGTGGTAGGGTTCCAAGTGTTTATTCCCACAAAACACCCGGGTCCCACATCCATCCGTACACTTTGTGGCCGGTCTTTTAGTTCTCAGGAGACTCCTGTTTGGTAAAGACAAGACGAGCTGGCAGAACCTGGACTGAGGTGAGAAAGGTGCCTCGGACAAGGCACAGCCCTTCGGAGGCGG